TTGGAGGTGGTGGGTACAGGGGAATTGGTGGTGAGTGAATTTGTGTCAGTGGAGTTGGTCGTGGTTAAAGTGGTGGTGGTGGTGAGTGTAGTTATGTCAGTGGTGGTGCTGGTGGGTGGGTTGGAGGTGCTGTTTAAGGTAATTGTGTCTGTGGAGATGGTGGTTGGTATAGTGGGGGTGGTTCTGAGTGTAGTCGTGTCAGTGGTTTTGGTGGCATGTACAGTGGAGCTAATGGTGAGGGGAGTCATTTCAGAAGAGGAACTGGGTACAGGGGAAGTGGTGGTAAGGGTTGTCTTATCAGTGGAGGTGGTGAGTACAGTGGAGGTGATAGTAAGGGCTGTTGTGTCAGTGGAGGTGGTGGTGGGTTGGGTGGAGGTGGTGCTGAGGGTACTCGTGTAAGTGTTGGTTGTGGTAGCTACATTAGATGCAGTGGTGAGCATAGTAGTGTCAATAGAGGTGGCGGTGGGGACAGTGAATGTGCTTGTGAGGGGAGTCCTGTCAGTGGTGGTGGTGGTGAGTTGGATGGAAGCAGTGGTGAGGGTAGTCTTGTAAGTGGAGTTGGTGGTGGGTACAGGGGAACTGGTGGTGAGGGAAGTCGTGTCTGTGGATGTCATGTCAGGTAAAGTGGAGTTAGTGAATGGAATGGAGATGGTGGTTATGGTAGAAGTATCAGTAGACGTGGTGGTGGGTATAATGGAGTTGGTTGTGAGGGTAGTGGTGTGAGTGGATATGGTAGGCATAGTGGTTGTGGTGGTGAGGGTCCTGGTGTCAGTTGACAAGGTGGGGGAAGTGGAACTGGTGGTGAGGGTACTGGTGTCAGTAGAGGTGATATTGGGTACGGAGGAGGTGGTGGTGAGGGTCACTGTGTCAGTGGAGGTGATGGCGATTGTAGCTGTGTCAGTAGAGGTGGCAGTGGCTACAGGCAAAGTGTTGGTGAGGGTTATCATGTCAGTGGAGGTGGTGGTGAGTGTTGCTGTTTCAGCAGGGGTGGTAGTGGGTTCAGTGGAGTTGGTGGTGAGTGGAGTCGTGTCTGTGGAAGTGGTAGTGGGTACAGTGGAGGTAGTGGAGAGGATAGTCATGTCAGTGGAGGTGGTTGGTACTGTGGAGGTGATGGTTAGGGCAGTTATGTCAGTGGAGGTGGTCAGTACAGTGGAGGTGGTTAGGCTAATCACGTTAGTGGATGTGGGTGTGTGTACAGTGGAAGTGGTGTTGAGCGTGGTGTTGTCAGCATAGGTGGTGGTTGGTAGAGTGAACGTGGTTGTGAGTGTGGTTGGATCAGTTGTGGCTGTGTTGGGTACAGTTGTCGAGGAGGTGGTGGATGCAGTTGTGGTAGATGTAGTGTGTGTTGTTGCAGGGGTTGTTGTAGCTGCAGTGGAGGTCGTAGTGTTTGTCATTGTCGTTGTCGCTGTAGAGGTCGTGGGTCTGTTCACCTCAGTCGTGGTGCTGTTTAGAGGCGGTTTAGTGGTGATGTTAATGATGTTGCATTCACACCGCAATCCCCAGTAGTCAGGTGGACATTTGCATGCTGTTCCAACTGGCGTGCCACCATTCAAGCACACAGCGGTGCTGTCCTCATTCTCGCACAAGGAACCCCAGTATCCTAGTGCACAGATGCACTCCATTCCCAGTGCCGTGGCACCGTTCTGGCAGGCTGTGGCTGTGTTCTCGCTCTCGCACCAGGCACCAGAATACCCAGGTGGGCAGATGCAGTGAATGCCGACAGGAGTGCCTCCGTTCTGGCAGGCCATGGAGCTGTTAAAGTTCTCACACCAAAGACCAGAATAACCAGGTGGGCAGGCGCACTCAGTTCCCACAGCTGTGCCCCCATTCTGGCAGGAGACTGAAAGACACAATATCCCCCATCCGGTATTTAGTGTGAAAGAGGACAGACACAATCCAAATTCAGGTGAAAGACCCACATTTCCCGGCCAGGACTGGGGAGAGAATCCAGTGGTTCCGAACTCACAGCCACCCTCCACACTCCACTCTAATCTAGACTGCATGGTCCTGCAAAAGATGGTAATAGAACCCAGGAGCCCTGGCTCCCAGCCCCCACCCCGACCCCCTTTCCCTCCTAGAGGCACAGAGAGAACCCAGGAGTTCTGGCTCCCAGCACCCCCTGCTCTAACCGACTAGGCTCCAGTCCTCTCCCAGAAGCAGGGAGAAAACCCAGGAATCCAATGGAACTGGGAGAGGAAAGTCCATCAATAGAGTCATAAAGTCCAGAGCCAGGAAGGACCATTGTAATCATCTAGATTCCATGCCCAAGCACATGACCAAATCGTCTGCCAATGAGAACTCTTGACACGCATGGCTGGACCAATGACACTCAACAGAATTTTTGCATGCAAATTAACTGTAGAAGAAGAGTGATGATTGGCTGGGTCAGGGGTCTGCACTGCGGTGCCTGCAGGTGCCATGGCGCCCGCCAGGGCGTCTAAGTGCGCCCGCCTACTGGCTGGCGGACGAGCATCTGCCGAAATGCCACCGACAAACATCATCATCCAGAGGCCTTGCCGCTGAAATGCCACCGATTTTCGGTGGCGACACCTCTGGATGACGCTGCTTGTCGGCGGCATTGCGACGCCTATTGAAATTGCCGCTTGTCAGCGGCATTTCAGCGGATGTTCGTCCGCCGCCACGGTCCTCCGTGGCTCGTCGTCTGGCGCCCGCCAGACAAAAGAGGTTGGGGACCACTGGGCTGAGTTATTGCTCATATCACCATGTCCCCACCTAGAGTTACATAAACTGTATCCCTTACCCTACCTTTAGCCTATATTAGATCAGATGAGGTGAAAATTACTAATTGCTTAATTGCAACATCGGCTCTTCAAGTCGGGCCAGCACGCAACGCTTGGATGACTTGTCCCATTGACAGAGTTTGCAATCTCTGTGTTTTCCCATGGCTAAGATCGATCAGGACAAAGAACAAAGAGTGACACAAAATGCTAAATAACAGAATTACTGGTACCATCTCAGGAAATGCATCCTGTGCCCAAGCCAGAGGTAGGGGGCAGGGCCGGATTAACTTTTTGTGGGCCTGGCGCCAAACATATTGGTGGGCCCCCATGTGGTTGTGATGAACCCCTTCCAGATACGGTCCTAGCGTGACAGCACCATTGATGCCATAGTAAATGTGGTATTGCCGGGATGGGAATGAAAACATTTATTCAAAAACAAAATAAGATATTTGAAGCCAAACTGAGACCTCCACTCAGCCCATAGAGAACAAACTGGGCTAACATCAATGTACTCAGAACACCACTGAATTTGGTTTGTGTGGGAGAGGGGTTGTTTGTTAGTTTTGTCTTTTTTCTTTAAACACTCAGGGCCTGCTTAGGGCCCTGAACACAAGTGCTAGGGGGAAGCCCTGCTGGACTTCTGATGTAAACAACAAGGCTGAATCGAAACAAGGTACATAGTCTAGCTGCCTCGGTATCATCTTTATCAGTCTTATCAGAAGCTTTGAACCAGACTTTGGACGCATGAAAATGCCACGGGCATGTAGAGCATTCATGGACTTTGGTGGCGTTAAGTGTTGTAGGTGTTTGTGTTGTCATGACTCCCCAGGGTTGGGTGTGCGTGCGTGTAAACAGGAATCACTGGAGGGTGATTAATCATAGAATCATAGAACTGGAAGGGACCTCGAGAGGTCTCTAGTCCAGTTCCCTGCACTCAAGGCAGGGCTAAGTATTATCTAGACCATCCCTGACAGGTGTTTGTCCAGCCTGCTCTTAAAAATCTCCAGTGATGGAGATTCCACAACCACCCTAGGCAATTTATTCCAGTGCTTAATCACTCTGACAGTTAGGAAGTTTTTCCTAATGTCCAACCTAAACCTCCCTGGCTGCAATTTAAGCCCATTGCTTCTTGTCCTATCCTCAAAGGTTAAGAAGAACAATTTTTCTCACTCCTCCTTGTAAAAATCTTTTATGTACTTGAAAACTGTGATCATGTCCCCTCTCAGTTTTCTCTTCTCCAGACTAAACAAACCCAAGTTTTTCAATCTTCCCTCATAGCTCATGTTTTCTAAACCTTTCATCATTTTTGTTGCTCTTCTCTGGACTTTCTCCAATTTGTTCACATCTTTCCTGAAACGTGGCACCCGGAACTGGACAAAATACTCCATCTGAGGCCTAATCAGCACGAAGTAGAGCGGAAGAATTTTCGTGTCTTGCTTACAACACTCCTGCTATTACATCCCAGAATGTTGTTTCCTTTTTTTTGCAAAAGCATTACACTCTTGACTCATATTTAGCTTATGGTCCACTATGACCTCCAGATCCCTTTCCACAGTACTCCTTCCTAGGCAGTCATTTCCCATTTTGTGTGTGCAACTGATTGTTCCTTCCTAAGTGGAGAACTTTGCATTTGTCCTTATGGAATTTCATCCTATTTACTTCAGACCATTTCTCCAGCTTGTCTAGATCATTTTGAATTTTAATCCTATTCTCCAAAGCACTTGCAACCCTTCCCAGCTTGGTATTGGCCACAAACTTTATAAGCGTACTCTCTAGGCCATTATCTAAATCACTGATGAAGATATTGAACAGAACCGGACCCAGAACCGATCCCTGCGGGACCCCACTCGTTATGCCCTTCCGGCCTGACTGTGAACCACTGATAACTACTCTCTGGGGACAGTTTTCCAACCAGTTAGGCACCCACCTGATAGTAGCTCCATCTAGGTTGTATTTCCCTAGTTTGTTTATGAGAAGGTCATGCGACACAGTATTAAAAGCCTTACTAAACTCAAGATATACCCCATCTACCGCTTCCCCCCATCCACAAGGCTTATTACCCTGTCAAAGAAAGCTATCAGGTTGGTTTGACATGATTTGTCCTTGACAAATCCATGCTGACTGTTATTTATCACCTTATTATCTTCAAGGTGTTTTCATATTGATTGCTTAATTATTTGCTCCATTGCAAATGCAGGACCCACTGCAAATGCCATGACCCAGCCTTTGATGCCTCATCTGCATGGGAAGGGGGCCTGGACTGGCCCTGCGGTGTCCGGATGCCAGGAGAAAACAAAGCCCCCCAAACCAGATAGATAGATAGATACAGCAGGGCCAGAAAGCAGCAGGAGAGTGATAGATGGGAGAGATACATAAGCCCCAGGATGACCAGGGCCATATTCTCTGTGGACTGAGGAGAGGTTACTACAGGTTAATTAGAGCACGTGAAGCCAATTAAGGCCCTGCCAGAGACCAAATAAAGACCCCTGCTTCAGTCTGACAGGGAGAGGGAAAGAGAGCTGGCTGTAGTTTGGAGGAGTACTGTTATTGACCAGAGGATCAGAGTACCAGGGGAAGGGAAACCCTACCCGAGGAGAGGGACCCCCAGCACAGAGGACCCAGGGGAAAGAGGTAAGAAGCCCATGAAGCTGAAGGGGCTGGGACCCGGAGTAGGGGGCGGACCAGGTCCCTTCCCCGCTCTCCTTCTCTCCCCCACCAGGGCACTAGAAGAGCCATAGATGCCCAAGAATAGGGGCAAGGGGCAGCGCCCTGACCCATCACACCAAAGAAAAGTGCAAGACCTACCACAAAAGTATCCGCCATTTGCCACAATAAATAGATGGGGGGGGTGTACAGGGATAGATTGATTGATTGGGTGGGAATAGATACATAGTGTGACGGGTTCGATCACAGAGACTCCCTTGGGACTGTCACCTGATGTGCTGAGACTACCTCTGAGCCCGTTTTCTCTGCCAGTTTGGGCCTCCAGAACTCTGCCTTGTCGAGCCAGGCATGCCAGTCTGAACCAACACAGACCCAGGGTCTGAACCACGTGCCCCAAAGCTGCAGACTTAACTGAAAACAGCTTAAGAAGTGCTCCTGTCTCCAGCACACAGACACCCATCTCCCAATGGGATCCAAACCCCAAATTAATCCGTTTTACTCTGTATAAAGCTTATACGGAGTAAACTCATACATTGTCCTCCTTCTATAACACTGATAGAGAGATATGCACAGCTGTTTGCTCCCCCGGGTATTAATTACTTACTCTGGGCT